CATCCTGCAGAGACCGTGGATGCACCGCTTGGACTGGAACTCGAACTTGCCGTTGTTCTTGTCGAGGCCGTCGTGACCGAATGATGTCAGATGGCGGGATCGCGACACGCGCGGCGGATGTGATCGAGAATGTGTTTGAGCGCCCGCTCTGCTAGAGGCGCTGCCACGTCCTCCTTGCATTGTCCAGAAACCGCTCCGATCACCAGGTGGCCTGTGTCGAAGTTTATCAGAAGTGCGAGCCCCATCCCACAGGGCCGCCGAAAAAAATCACCGGAAGCCTCTTGGTGACTTTTTCGGGGTCGTCGTCGCCCCAATCGCCCGGTCAAGGCCGTCGACGACGTCGGCCGTCGTGCCTGCGCCGCGGTTCGAGCACCAGCCGCAGCACCTCCGCGGGAACGCTGTGGGGTGGAGCCGCTCGTCGACGCGGCGCCTTCGAGACGACCTCGGTCACCTTCTCGAAATCGTCCTTGCCGAGGTCGAGGTGGTCGTAGTCGCACACCGGTGCACGCCCCAGTGGCCCCAGCCCCGCCAGATACTGCTCGCGGAACTCGGCGAAGTCGATCGGCGCCGCCTCCGGGCCTCCGGCAGCACCGGTCGGCGCGAAATGCTGGACGACTTCGCGGCGCCGCGGGGCGAAGATGCCGCCGGCGTTGCAGTGGCGCCGTCGGGGCCCGCAGCTGCGAGCCGGAAGCAAGTGTGAAATGCGCCAAGCCTCGGCAACCTGCTGATGCCTCCATGCCTCGCTCAGCTCCTCCACCAGCATCGCGACCTTCTCCTCCACCAGCATTGTCGTTGTCGTTGTTGTTGTTGTTGGTGTTGGTGGTGTTGTTGGTGTGGTTGTTGCTGTTGTTGTTGCTGCTGTTGTTGTTGCTGTTGCTGTTGGTGTTGCTGTTGTTGCTGCTGTTGTTGTTGGTGTTGTTGCTGCTGTTGTTGTTGATGTTGTTGTTGATAGGTTGTGTGCGCTTCTGGATTATGGGGCAACTGTTTCGTTGCGTTGGCTGTGTTTCGATAGCGTGGGCGGGGAGGGGCCATCCAGGGAGGGCTCCATTCCCACAGGCAGCACATGGTGTTCCTTTTCTTCATGTCGACTTGGGGCTTGCCCGCTTCTCCCAGAAGGCGACGGCAAGAAGAAGACGGCGTCGGGATCAGGTGGGATTAGACACATCGGAACGCCCTGAGAGCCGGCGGATCTAGGATGCATCGGGCGCCGCGGCCATTTCGTTGCGTTCTGGAGCGCTCTCTCTCTCTCTCTCTCTCGAGCATTTCAAATTCTTCCTGGGCGAGCCTTGGTAAGGGATGGGGCTGCGCACAAAGATTCCCCGAGGCAATCTTGCCTCGCCCCCGACTATCGGCGACTCAAAAAGGTGTGGTTTGCAAAGGGTGTGGTTTGCGACTGGCACCCTGAGGAACATCCTGGGGGGCACCTTGGGGGGCACGCGGGGACCTGGATAGAGCTCTCCCGCGCCCCGAGGAGGCCCGACGAGGACACTGTCGTGCCCCCCCAGGCCCCAACGGTGCCGATCGCAAACCACACCCTGGCGTAACCACACCCTTTGCAGTCGCCGAGACTAGCCCAATAACAACCCCGCAGAGCCTCCGGGGGAGCTCGTCGCCCCTGGCGCGTCGAGGCCGCCCCGGGCGCTGCTCGGGAGGCCTCTTGGGGGCCAGCTGGGACTGCCCCACCGACTACCTACCAGACCACCCCAACCCAACCCGAAGACCCGAATTTCGGGTTGGGGGGGGGGGAAGGGTTCCACATGTGTTTTTTCGATGTTTCCCGAACCCCCCCCACTGGAAATCGAGGTTAAATCTGAGCCTTCGGGTTGGGTTGGGGTGGTTTGGTGGGTGGTGACCCACCACTCTCGTTGCCAAAAAATGCGACGGACTGGGGCGAGAAAGCAGTCCTGGGCAGAGGGTCAAGGCGCATTTCTTCCCAACCATCCTGTGGTATTGGGTCCCCGTTTTGAAGAGACAGCCCCCCGTGTTCGTCTTCCTCCTCCTCCTCCCGCTGTTCTCATCCCTCCTCCCATCCCTGCCTCCGCTCTCCGCATCAGTCTGCCATGTCGGCACACCCCTCACACATTGCGCGGCCCCATGGGGAGCTCCACAGAAGGTCCCAGTGCTATCGCTCGCATGCGTCCCCGCGACCCAGTACAGCGCTTCCTTTCCCCGTAGGGAGCTCCACCGAAGGCCCCAGTGGCACCGTCCACATGCGTTCCCCCAACCCAGTACAGCGCTTCGTGGCCCCATAATAGGGAACTCCACAGACGGCCCAAGCGCTACCGTCCGCATGCGTCCCCCCCACCCAGTACAGCGTTTAGTGGCTATTAAGGAGTTCCACCGAACGTCCCAACGCTACAGCCCGCATGCGTCCCCCCCACCCAGTACAGCGCTTCGTGGCCCCATGCCTCACCGACGGTCCCCGTGCTACCGCCCGCATGCGCCCCCCCCCACCCAGTACAGCGTTTAGTGGCCCCCTGGGGAACTCCACCGACGGCCCCAATGATACTGCCCGCATGCGCTCCCCCAACCCAGTACAGCGCTTCGTGGCCCCATAGGGAGTTCCACCGACGGCCCCAGTGCTACCGCCCGCATGCGCCCCCCCCACCCAGTACAGCGTTTAGTGGCCCCACAAGAAGCTCCACCGACGGTTCTGGCGCTACCGCCCGCATGCGCCCCATCCACCCAGCACAGCGTTTCGTGACCCCATAGGGAGTTCCACCGAGGGCCCCAGTTGCACCGTCCGCATGCGTCCCCCCCACCCAGTGCAGAGCTTCGTGGCCAGCTGCAGTGTCAAAGTCCACATTCGTCTTCCCAACCCAGTGCAACGTTTCGTTTTCCATAGGGGGGCTCCACCGAAGGCCTCAGTGGCACCGTCCACCTGCGTCCCCCCCACCCAGTGCAGCGTCCGTGACCCCATAGAGAGCTCCACCGAAGGCCCCAGAGGCAAAGTCCCCATGCTTTTTCCCACACCCAGTGCAGCGTTTCGTGGTCCAGAGGGAGCTCCACCGAAGGCCCCATTCGCAAAGTTCGCATGCCCCCCCCAGCCAGTAGAGCGTGTCGTTGCCCCATAGGGAGCTCCACCGAAGGCCCAAGTGGCAGTTCGCATGCGCCCCCCCCCACCCAATACAGCGTTTCGTGGCCCACAGGGAGCTCCACCGACGGCCTCAATGGCAAAGTTCGCATGCGTCTCCCCCGGCCAGTACAGCGTTGCGTGGCCCATAGGGGGCTCCACCGAAGTCGCTACTCACAACTGCGGCACTCGCAACTGCATATGATTGGGTCCTTCGGCAAGCTAATTGTTTTTGTTGCTTTGGTTTCCGACGCAAGCAACCCCACCAGAGTCGCCACGTCCAGGGTGAGTCACCGAAGTATACAAGCCACTCCAAGTAATCAGGCTCAGTAAACCGACGGCAGTCTGTCATAGACGAGGAGCCTCACATCGCTGGTATTCCCTGAGGAAGAAGGCGAAGGAAGAAAGAGGAGGAGGAGGAGGAAGAGGAAGAGGAGGGGGATGAGGGACTCCTCCTCCCCTCTCTCTCTTGCCCTCCTGTTGCTCCTCCTCCTCCTCCTCATCCTCCTGTCGCCTGCTCCGATCCTTTCCTTTCATCTGGGGTCGCTCCCCCCCCACCCCCCCTCCCATTTTGGGTGCTGTGCTTCCCACGTGGTTGACACCCCCCCACCCCGCCAAGCGGAGCCCCGGAGTGGTGAAAGGCACGAGGGCCACAGCTCTTCGGAGAGCCAAACGTCCGCAGCTCGAGCCTCGAGGAGGGGAGGAGGGGAGCGGGCGCTGTGCGAAGGCCCCCACTGCGGTCCCTGGGGGGTCGAGGCGTCGGGAGGGCCCAGGCCGTGGACTAGTATCGCGAGGCCTGGAGGTGCGGGCAGACGGGGGCGCCCCGGAGAAGGCGCAGAGGCCCTGGTCTGCAACGAGGGCCCAGGGTCGGACACAGACTTCGTGGGCCCTGGAAACGACAGGGCCGTTTTTCCCGTTCCGCTTTGCCGTTTTTTTGCCGGTTCCGACGCCGTTTTTTCACCGGTTCCGTCGCCGTTCTTGTACGGGTTCCCGCTCCGGTTCCAATCCTGGAACCGTTTTGGTTCCCGTTTCCGGTCGCCGTTGTTTTGCCGTTTCCATTTTCAAGGGACAGTTTTTCGGAAACGGTGAAAAAACGGCCCAATCGTTTCCGGGGCCCACCAAGGACACAGAGGCAACGGCGCAAGGCCCTGGGGCTTCTGTACCGAACCAGTTGCAGCCTGGTGCTGACGAGGGGAAGGGCCGAGAAGGGACGAGGATGCAGGGCGGCAGACCTGATGAACCGCTCGCGTCCCGATGATGGGGCTGGACTGCAAGGCGGAGGGGCATGGCCAAGCCCCTCTCTAAAGCCCGTTCCCTGTGGCCTCGGAGCAGCATGGAGCCAAAGTCAAGACTGGCCATGGGGAGAGAGCGAGAGGGAAACCTCGCCCACGAGGGCGAACGCAAACACCATTGCTGAGGGCGTCTAGAACCGAGAGGTGCGATGGGGCTCCTCGCAGCGCTCATGCTTGCGGGTATGTTTCGGCTGCGCGGCAACAGAAACAAAGCTTGGCCCAGCCTGCTCCTTGCAACCCCTCCTCGGCCTCAGAAGGGAGGGCGACGAACGCGGAAGGGGTGGTATCACCGCCTCCCCACCACAGAGCCCTCTTGGAAACTTTCCGGGAGGAGGCTGGAGCCGCATGGGCCCCCCTCGCCCTCCGCCTCTTCCTCGTCGTAGTCATCATTTGCTCCCTCCCTCCTCACTCCGCAGTCCCTCCTTATCATCCCCTCCCTCCGAAGAGAGGAGAGAAGGAGGAGTGAAGTTACCGTAAAAGAGTGAAGAGGGAAACTATGGGGGGGCGAAGAAAGAGGGAGCGGGGAAGCGCAGGGGGACGGGGACGAGCTGGGAGGAGCACGAGGGAGGGTGGGGCAGTGGGAGCAAGAGGGCGGAGGAGTGAAGATGAGGAGATGGACGACGAAGACGCGGCGCTTTTTACCCGCGAGCGCCGCTGGCACAATGCTCACCCAAAACACTGAAATATAGAACCTTTGCGTTGCATCTGCCGGGGGACCTTGCCTGGCCCGGCGCGCCGCCATGCACATCGAATCCGAATCCGTGCCGAGCGCGGCGTCGAACCCGTGCCGAAACCGTGCCGGAGTCGTGTCGAGTCCACGTCGAACCCGCGCCGAACCCACGACGGAGCACAAGACGAGACGGCCATTCCGTTCGCAGGACAGGGAAAGGCCCCCCGTAGACACAAAAGGACCGACGTGCCGCGGCGCGCCCCCGAGGCGGGGCGCGCGCGATCGGCGCCGCCCTTCCCCGAGCCGCGTGTCCGGCCGCGGGCGGCGTGAACGCCGAGAGGCGCCCACAGAAGTCCGGAGGACGGCGACGGCGTCGCCGACAGAAGAGCGTCAGGGCACCCCTCGCCATCGCTCGGACGTCCACTCCCTGTGTTTTGCTCGGTTTCGTGCGTGGTTTTTTCGCTAAACGATCCAGGCTGCTCCTCGACGGTCCTCGCCGAAGGCAAAAACGCACACCGTCCGAGCGATGCCAGGACCCTCCCCGAGCCGACCTCGACCTTACACCTCGGTCCGACCGTGCTCGAGATCTCGCGCGCAGCTCGGCTGCCGCTTCGGCTCGCGGCGCCGCGCGGGGTCGAGCGGCAGCGAGGCACGGCGGACAGCGAGGCACCGAAAGACGTGCGGAATGGCGGCGGCCTGTCTTGGATGATTCCCGGGGGACCTCTGGCGCCGCCCTCGGCTACGGGTGGAGGCGGCCTCCCAAGGCGGGGCCTTCGCTGGAGGCCTCCTGGGGAGGAGCGGGGGGGAGTACGAGGGCGAGGGAGCGGGGAGAAGGATGGAAGGACGAAGAGGGGGAGGGAGCGGAGGAGGAGGAGGAGGAGCAGGGGGAGGAGGAGAAGGAGGAGGAGGAGGAGGAGGAGGAGGAGAAGGAGGAGGAGGAAGAAGAGGAGGAAGAGGAGGAGGAGGAGGAGGACCATGAACACATATGTTTGGATGCGTGTTGGGGGATGGCGGGACGTTCCAGGATGAGGAAGATGGGGTAAGATGATTATGGTGAGGATAGGGGGTCAGGGAGAGGAGGAGGAGGAGGAGGAGGAGGAGGAAGAGGAGGAGGAGGAGGAGGCAGGACGGAAGATCGGGAGGAATGACATAGCGAGAGACAGAGGGAGGGAGGGAGGTGGGAGGGAGGTGCAAAAGCAGGAGGGAGAGGGATAGGATGAGCGAGTACGGAGGAGGGAGGGCGGGATGGAGGGAGGTAAGGCGGGATGAGCGATGTGGATGGGGGAGAAGGAGGAGGAGGCCGAGGAGGAGGAGGAGGAGGTATTCACGGCGCCTCTGGGCCATTTGCAAGTCCAACATCGCAGGGATCGGCCGAAGCATCGAAGGATCGAAGGTGGGAGAAGGGACGAGGGAATCGTGACCTGGGGAGAGGGTATTGCGCTCCTGGGCCGCACCGTTTTGCTGATGCACGACGGCTCTGCGGTGCGACCTAGGGGAGCTCGTATAGCAAGACACATCGAACCTACCCTCAACTGCTCGGCGGTGCGCACAGGGGGGTGACGCGAGGGGGGTGGCCGTCTGAGAAGGCGGCGCGCTTCTGAGGGCCTGGAAGCTTCGAATAAGGATTCCTGAAGCTGGGATGGCTTCTAAGCAGGCCCCTGGCTTCTTAGAAGCTCCCCCGCCTTCCTAGAATGCCCCCCCCCCCCCCCCCCTCGCGCAACCCAAATAGTGTGCGCCGCCACGCCCGTCATCCCTGCAGAAGGACAACTCTGGAACGAGAGACTCGGCAGGGCGGGTGTGCACTGAGCTTCGGGAGCCAGGCCAGAGTGCGCGCGGGGGCTCGGAAGATCGCCGATGATGCAGCAGGGGGGAGTTCCAGGACACGGGCAGGAGGGGCAAAAAGAAGACGAGCAACAAGGATCCAACAGATCATGGTTGATGCTTGGTGGACAGAACAATAGTACGAACAATAATAAAAAGACACACGATACTAATAGTAAGAATAAAAATAAGAAGAAGAATAATAATAATAATAAGAAGAAGAAGCAGAAGCGAGGGGGCCGGTTCTGGGCGGGGAACGGCATCGGTGGAAACGCGGCTGCCGCAGTCCGCGAGCCCTCCGCTCCTATAGCGGTGCTGCTGCCCGCTGCCTGGCCGCGGCCGGGCCCGGCCCCGCTACACGCAGTCCATGAACACCTGGCTCGCGGCGCCGGGAAGGGTATGCCAAGGAAGGGTGCTCTGGGGACGGAGCTCGCCAGGCGACGGCATTCGTGAGGGGGCCCCAGGACACACAAATAAATACACACATAAAAATATTCCCCATATTTTCCTACATTTTCTAGGTTTTTGTCTTCCCCCCCACTTCCCATATGTTCCCATATTTTCCGGGGGATCGACGATTAATTGTGTCTGTGTGTGTTTTTCGCCTCCTGGATTCGAGGGCACGGGGACGCCAGTGGCGCAGCAGTGCCCGGACCAGCGGTGAACTACAAGAGAAAGGCAGCGAGCGGTTGCGAGGATGGTCCAGGGGAGGCAGCTGGCTGGAGCTATGGCGACATACGGCGAGAGAACGAACACTCTCTCTGTCTGTGTGTCTCTCTCTCTCTCTCTCTCTCTCTCTCTCTCTCTCTCTTCTTTCTCTATGTATATACTCTTGTACTCCATACATCTGTACATATATCCGCCACCGTGCCCCCTGGCACGGAACCAACGACGCCGAAGGCTTCGCATCGTCGGTTGCAGTCGTTTCACCTCCTCTGACAATGCACCTCTGACGTGCACGGCTTCCCTCTCTCTCTCTCGTGCCCCCTGGTACGTTGGGGCGCGCTAGACTGCCAAGTGGTGTCTGATAGGGTTTCTATGACTTTCCAAAGTGCCCCCCCTCTCCCCACACACAGCGGCATGCACCATCCCATCTTCCTGAGGCGACAGCTCCTGGCAACATGTGACAGATTTGCACTCCCGAGGCCCAGATTCCTCCAAGACGGCCCAATATGGCTCCATGACGGGCCACTGTGGCCTCACGACAGCCCAATATGGCTTCAAGACAGGCCACGAGGCCTTCGAGGCGTCCCAAGAGAGACCCAAGAGCCTTCCCAAAAGGACCTCGAGATGCAAGCATCATTGATTCCCCGGAGATTTTGCAATGTGGTCGGGGTTCTCGCCTTTTCGAGCTTCCGACGTCCCAAGACGACCCCAGAGGCACCCAAGACGGCCCTAAGACGGCCCTAAGACGGCCCAAGATTGCCCCAGGACGGCCCAAGAAGGCTCGGAGACGGGCCAAGAAGGCCCCAAGACAGCCCCAAGAAGGCCCCAAGAAACCTCCCCCCAAAAGGGAGAACAAACCGAAACCGGCACAAGAAGGCCCCAAGCCGGATCCAAGAAGCGCAAGAGGGGAAACACGAATGATCAAGCCACCAGGCCCCAAGAGGCCCCCCAAAAAACCCAATGGGCCCCAATACTCCCCAAATGGGGTCCATGAGGGCTCATCAAGGAGAGAGGACGAAAGGTCACATGTGACGGCCTTCCTCCTCCTCCTTCTCCTCCTCCTCGTCATCTTCCTCCTCTTCCTCCTCGTCCAACTCATCATCGTCATCGTTGTGTCAATCACCATCCTCCTCCTCCTCCTCCTCATCCTCCTTCTCCTTCTCCTCATCATGGTCATGACAATCACCACCACAATCACCAATCACAGCATCATCAAGATCATCATCATGACCATCAACATCATCATCGTCGTAAAAAGGATAACCATCACCACCATCATCATCACCATCAACATCACCATACCATTATCGTCATCACCATCATCAGTACCATCACCAGAACCGCCCACATCATCCCATCCTCATCAAAATCCGCATCATCCTCGTGAGCAATATCATCACCATCGACGTCATCATCATCATGATCATTCCCATCGCCAACATCGTCCCCATCCTCATCATCACCACTGCCGTCATCAACATCATCAGCTCCATCATTCACATCAGCGTCCTCGTCATCATCGTCAGCATCATCTTCACAATTATCATCACAGTCAACATCATATTCATCATCATTGTCAGCTTACATCAGCAACATCAGCGTCACCATCGCCCCAGACGGGCTCACTGACTTCAGACACACACCAAAACCCCAAGACAGCCGAGGTCCCACGTGACGGCGTGAGACACCTTGCTCTCAAAATCCCAAATCTGGCCCCACGAATGACCTACCACACGTTGCAACTCTCCGAAAAACAAATATGCAACTAGGACCTCCGTGCCCTCGCGAAAGCCTCCAAGAAAGCTGGGCTGGCGCGGTGGCTGACGTGTATGTGTAGATATAATCAGTAATTCTACACATATATACATGCATATATATATATATATATGTATATATGTGTATACACAAGATTGCAGTGGCGCTTCGCGGCACGCACCTTGGTCATTCACGCTTCACATACGTTGACACTTGGCGTTATCCTCTTCGGCCTTTGCAATTTGGTCGTTTCCTTTCAAGTCTCCTTACCCGTTCCTTATTTGCTCTCGCCCTCGATGAACATGTTCGTGCGCCACCCGAATGTTTCTGGGGGTGCGTTTGGATGCATTTCGAGGCGGACCCGATGACGTGGCGACGAGAACGCCACCTGGAGGGTCCGAAAAGGCAGGGCTTCGCCACAATCAGAGCAAGCGAATCCAGACATGAAGGATGTGGCGCATGCGGAAGCTTAAACCATTTGAGCCAACGGCTACGGATGCACGGGTACGTACACAATTGAAGAACGTGCTCCCATGAATGAAATGGAGAACCCTCGCGTGGCCGGGTGCGCAATGCGAAACGAATGAATGCCAAACAAAGCAACGCACTGCCAAGCAATGCCGCATACTACGAAACAATGCAATGTGAAATAATGCCGCCTTGGCTGTGGAAATACACCGACACCCAGGTTCGCTTCGAATTTCTTGGGAATGTTGTTGCAAGCCCGGGAGTCGGGTAAGTGTGGTGTATTTCGTAGGAAGACGCCTTTTTGGAAGACGCACGGCCATGTAAAGGAACGATGTTCGGGGTCCTTCGCGTGGCCATCACACGGGCTCGCTCGTGGCCCAAGTTGCCCAGTCACGCAATGCAAGGCAATGGAAGGCATCGCCTTACTGTTCCACATCGTTCCTCTCTTTCATCCTTGCTCTCGCCTGGCGTTGCGAACCATTGCCCGTCTGCCGCAGGTCCTTTGCGGAGGCTCATCGTTGAAGTTGTCTCGGGGGTCTCACAGATGCCTCTCAAGGACTTTGGGGACCCCTGAGACCTCTTGGGCCTTCCTGAACGCTGCTGCGACACAAAAAAAAACGAATACGCTGGAAATAAACGTTTTGCCAAAAAGAATGAGAAGATGTTTTACGGGCGCAGCCCGTAAGTCCATTTGCGTAAAGCAAACAGAACTGACCAGAACTGACCTGAATCACCAAAGCCGCTACATGGCAGTTTTATTTGCGGGGGTGAGGATATTTCGCTGGCACATGTAAGTCAGGGGGTTGAGGATATCTCGCTGGCAGTTTTAGGCCAGGGGGTGAGGACATTTCGCTGGCAATTTTAAACGAGGGGTGTGAGGATATTTCGCTGGCAGTTTAGGCCGGGGGGTGAGGATATTTCGCTGAAAGTTTTAAGCGAGGGGTGTGAGGATACTTCGTTGGCAGTTTCAAGTCAGGGGGTTGAGGATATCTCGCTGGCAGTTTTGGGCCAGGGTGAGGATATTTCGCTGGCAATTTTGAACGAGGGGTGTGGGGATATTTCGCTGGCAGTTTTAGACTAGGAGCGTGAGGGTATGTCGCTGGCAGTTTTAAGCGAGGTGCGTGTGGATACTTCACTAGCAGTTTTATTTGCGGGGGTGAGGATATTTCGCTGGCAAATTTAAGCCAGGGGGTGAGGATATTTAGCTGCAATTTTTGGCGAGGGGTGTGCGGATCGTTCGCCGGAAGGTTAAGTCTGAGCGCCAAGGAGACTTCGCTGATAGGTTTAAGCGAAGTGTGTGATGATATTTCGCTGGCAGTTTTAAGTCAGGGGGTGAGGGTATCTCGCTGGCAGTTTTAGGCCAGGGGGTGAGGATATCTCGCTTGCAGTTTTCGGCCAGGGACGTGAGGATATTTCGCGGACTGTTTTAAGCAAGGGGTGTTGAGATATTTCGTTGGCAGTTTTATGTCAGGGCGAGGGCTGCGAATCCCAAGAGTCTCCAAGAATTCATCGGGCTCGCGACGACAAGGAAGCCCAAACCCTGTGATTTCACTGGGATGCGTTGGATTTCACTGGTGTGCTAATCCCCGGAATTCACTGGGATGCTTGGGATTCTTGGATTTCTGGGGTTCTGAACCCTGAGGGCTCCAAGGTAAATTGTTTCGGAAGGCGGGGGGGGTCACCCCAGTAAAACCAAATGGTCGCTATGATCAGCACACCAGAAATCCCAAGCATCCCCGTGAAATCACAGGGTTGGGCTTCCCTGACGTCGCGAGCCCAGTGAATCCACTGGGATGCTTGGGATTCGGAGCCCTGGGGTGGCTCCGAGGTTGATTTTGTATCGGAAAAACAACCCCAAGAATCCCAAGCATCCCAATGACTTCATACGGCCCGGGACTCGCACCCCAGAAATCCCAAGCGTCCCCAGAAATCTAAGGGTTACGCAGGGTTTCCTGACCTCGCGGACCCTGTGGATTCACTGGGATGCTTGGGTTTCGGAGCGCTGAGGGCTCGAGGGCCGATTTTTGCTGGCGGGTGGACCATCCCAGGACTCCCAATCATCTAAATTCAATCATTTGGTTTCTGGGATTAACACCCAAGAAATCAATAGCATCCCAATGAAATCAAAGGGTTGGGGCTCTCCCAGCGTCGCGAACCCTGTGAATTCACTGGGATGCTTGGGACTTGGGGCCCGGAGGGGGGGGCTTCAGGGTATTTGTGTTGTCGGAAGGTGGGCAACCCGAGGAATCCCAAGCATCCCAGTGAAAGCATACGGTACCTGGAACTAGCAACCCAATGAAAACACAAGATTTGGGCTTCCCTGACGTCGTGAACTCGGTTAATTTATGGGGGCGCTTGAGATTCGGAGCCCCGGGGGGCTGAAGGGTCGAATTTTGTCGGAAGGTGGACAATTCAAGGAATTCCGTACATCCCCGTCAAATCATGGTTCCTGGGATTCGCACCCCAGAAGACCCAAGCATCCCAGTGAAATCCCAGGCATCGGTGGCTCCTCATGTCTGCGGGATGGCTTGCAAGCTATGGGCTTCCTCTGTGGGGAAAGCACCGCTTGCTCCTTCTATACTGCGTTGCCGTTGGGCGTTGGCAAGCCTAGCAGCCAGAGCACGCTCGCCAGTGGAGTCGAACAAAATGCGCCAGCCGACGTCACGAGACACTGCCAGCGAGGAATGTTTATGAAAGGAGAAAAGAAAATACCAAGACGGACACCAAGAAGAGGGAGAGATGCAGACGACACCAAGAAGAGGGAGAGATGCAGACGGAAAGGGTGCGGCACGGGCACTACAACATAGGTAACACACACAATGAATATGTGCTTGGGGGGACTGCCCATATACGTATGGAACGATGAATGTAAGGTGAGATTATAGGTATGCACATATATTGACCGAAAGTGAAGCGCATGCATGTCGTTATGAAGGGGGAACACAGCCAGGTAATGCAAGAAACGGTTATCCACCAAGCACGAACACATGCGTACTGGGTCTACATAACTGCATGCGCGTAGGGCATGTTGATGGTCCTAAGACATACTGCATCGCTCGTGCCTTGCATGCATCGTGCAACAGCGCGCATGCCGTGCCGAGCTGGGCCTGCACTGCCATGTGCGCTGTGCTGGCCTGAGGCGCTGCGAGGGCCGTGCCGTACACGCCTATGCATGGTGTGCCTGACGTGCCGTGCTGCACCTCGAAAGCAGTGCACTCGTGCGCCGGCCGCGGAGGCGCCGCTCCGGTGTTGCCCTGGAATGTGGCGTAGCCCACATGGCCATCCGACTTTGCTTTGCACTTCAAACGCATGCTCCCCGACTTCTCGTCTTTCTTCGGGTACTCGATGACCTCAATCAACTCTCCGGCCTGGCTGGTGTGCTGCTTTTCTATCATCTCTCTCTTCCTCCTCCGCCTCCGCCTCCTCCTGCTCCTCCTCCTCCTCCTCCTCATCATCATCATCATGGTCATCATCATCATCATCATCATCATCATCATCATCATCATCAGCACCAGCATCAGCATCAGCATCAGCATCAGCATCAGCATCAGCATCAGCATCAGCATCAGCATCAGCATCAGCATCATCATCATCATCATCATCATCATCATCATCATCATCATCATCATCATCATCATCATCATCCGCCTCCTCCTCCTCCTCCTCCTCCCGCCTCCTCCGCCCGCTTCCTCGCTCCTCCACAAAACTCCGCCTCCTCCTTCTCCTCCTCCCACCTCCTCCTTCTCGTGTTTTCCACCTCTCCCTCCCTCTTCCGAACTGAGGTAGCACGAAGGCTTGAAGCAAGAGGGGCATTCGAAAAGATTCGTACAGTATGGAATCACACCAAAATGAGCAAACATCTCGAAACCAAGGTGGCGGAAGTCTGCATGTTTCAAAAACTTTTATACGGGCTGGAAAGTTGTATGTCACTGAAAACAGACAGGGACATAGTTTCAAGCGAAGTGCCTCCGGCGTATCCACAGAATTCCGCCCGCGTTCTTTTCACGAATAGGCAATGTGAGATCAACAGCAGACGCCGAACCATTAGCTGTACTTCTACCACGTCAACTCCAGCTTCATGGTAAACTTGCAGCGGCCTGTCCAAACAGCCTTCCAGGGAGCACGGTGTTCGAGACGGGAGTGGCAGCCGACACGGTGCCGAGAGATTATGGGCCAGTGCTCGCGCCAAGGGACGCCCGCGCCTGCGATGATCACAATACATGCCATGTAAGGGCTCTACAGGCAGCGGGAAGTGACCCAGATCGCTTGCGATAACCCCAGGTGAGCGGCGCAAGGCCGTAGAAGAATACTGTCAAGAATTTCTCCCCTCTCGCCTCCACTCCTCCCTCCCGCCCTCCCTGCTCCCCCCTCCCCCATCCTCGAGTAAAGATGCAGCTCTCCCTCGCTAGGCTCCGGAACGAAGGGTCTGGCGCTTGCTCCCCGAGGCACTACATTGGCTCGGCGTCTGCACGCATATATTATTGCATGTTTTTTTCAAAACTGTCTTCAGCATGGTATTCGCTGCAGCTGCGCCGTCAGGGCGCGGCTCTTGCCTGCCTGCCTGCCTGCCTGCCTCCCTCCTCCGCCGTCTTCCGTTCTTCCATCCTTCCCTGTGCTCCTCCTCCTCCTCCTCCTCCTTCTCCACCTCCTTCTCCACCTCCTCATCCTCTCTCCTGCCCTTGCGGGCGGGAGAGGCCGTCACCCGCGCCCGTCGAAGCCGCACCTCCTGGCAGCTGCGTGCCAGTTTCCCCAGCTGGGGCCTCGCCGTGGTTCCCGCGCTGCGCTCCGCGGGCTCGTGGAGGATGGCCAGGCGAAGGGCCCAACTTTCGTTCTTGATCAATGAACACATCCTTGGCAAATGCTTTCGCAGTAGTCCGTCTTTAACAAATCCAAGAATTTCACCTCTGCCATTTGAATACGAATGCCCCCAACTATCCCTATTGATCATCACCTCAGCTCTAGAAACCAACAACACAGAACCGAGGTTTAGGGTTTTGCGCAGCGGTTATCTGGGCCCGCGTGAGGTCTGTAGGGGGCCACATGCGAACCCCACCCGCCCCCTCGGAAATCGTGGGGGGTGGGGGGTAGGGCTCGCATGTGGCCCCCGAGTCTGTGCCGAGACGGGCGGGAGCACGCATGCAAGCTTTCCGACCGAGGCCGTCGGTGGAACTCCCCAGGGGGGCGCGACCCCTGTGGACCCCTGCCATTGTGGCCGAAGGTGGAGATCCCTATGGGGCCACGATGCTCGTGAAGGATGCACCGAAATAGACGGCGCCTACATGCGGACCAGGCCACTGGGGTCGTAGGTGGAACTGCGTGAAGGGCCACGAAGCTTGCGAGGGGTGTGCCAAATTGCCGGCCATACCGCTACACCTCGACGTCCACGGATACCGTATGTGGAGCTCCCCGTGGTGCATGATACATACAAGTGTGTGCCAACATGGTCGCGTGCGCCACACGTCGGCGAAGGGGTGTTCTGACACGGGCATGGTGCCGTCATGCGCGGACGCCCACGGATACCGCCTGTGGAGCTCCCCGTGGTTCATGAGAAGTGCAAGTTCGTGTGTGTGCGTGCAGATGTGCCAGCCCGCGAATAGCCACGCGCTGGAGCGGACCGCTTCTGCCTCACCGCAAACGAACGAGCGTGTGTGTGTGTGTGTGCCAACATGGGCGCGGTGCCGCGCGCCCAGTGAGGCCGCGGGTGGAGCTCCTCATGGGGCTTCGAAGCTTGCGAGGGGGGTGCCAAATTGGGGGCGGTTCCGCCGCACGGTGGCGCCCATTGATACTCCAGATTTCGTAATAAAGGGAGGGGGGTCTCATTTCGGGGGGGGTCTCTTCCAGACTATCTTGGAGGGCCTGGGGGGGTCTGGGGACGATGTTTTGGAGGGTTCTCCCACGGGAGAGGTCTGAAATGGCTTGTCTTGGAGGGTCCAGACCCCCTCCCTTTTATCACGAAATCTGGAGTACCGTATGTGGAGCTCCCCGTGGTGCATGACAAATTCAAGTGTGTGTCAACATGGAAGCGGTGCCGCCATGCGTCGGCGTCCACTGGGGCCGCAAGTGGGGCTTCCTCAAGGGTACGAACCGTAGGAGGAGAGTAACGAAACAGGCGCGCTGCTGAATCTTGTGCACGTGCGCCATACGTCGGCGCCCACTGATACCGGAGGTGAAAGTCCCGATGGAGCCACAAGGGGTGTGAGGTGTGTGCCGAATTGGGAGGCACGTGCCCCGTACGATGGCGCCAACTGACGCCGTAGGTGGAGCTCCCTATGGGGCCTCGAAGGGGGTGAGAGGTGTGCCGAAATGGGCGCTTGCGCCCTGACTACGTCGGCGACCAATGAGACCGCAAGGGGGACTCCCTAAGGGGCACGAGACGTCTGAGGGGTGTGCCCGAATAAGAGCGGTGACGACATACACGCCCACTGATACCGTGTGCGGAGCTCCCTCTGAGGGGTAAAAGATGTCGGGGGTATGCTGACCTGGGCGCGGTGCCGCCGTGCGTCCGCGCCCACTGAAACTGCAAGTGGGGCTCCCCACGGTGCACGGAGCGTGTGAGCATGAGCCCGGCGCTGATCTAGGGGCGCGTGCGCCATGCGTCGGCGCCCAGTGATACCGTAGGTGGGAATCACGATAGTGCAACAAAGCGTGTGAGAGGTGTGCCGAGCTGCGCGTGCGCCTTACGACGGCGCACATTGAGTTAGAGGCTGTAGATGGGGCTCCTTATGGTACCACGCAGCGTGTGAGGGTTGTGCCGGGAGGGTGCGCATGCTCCAGACGACGGCACCCACTCACACCGTAGGTGGAGCTGCTTGTGGGGGCACGCAGCGTGGAGGGTGCGCCAGCTTGGGGGCGCCCACTGAGACCGAAAATTCGGTGGAGCTTGGTATGATCCCAAAACAATGAAGGGTGTGCCAAATTGGGGCGCGTACGCCATACGACGGCGACCTTTGACACCGTAGGTGGAGCTCCGTATGTGCCGTACAGTCAAGCCGTATCATGAGGGTGGGCGGTACGGATGCAAGGGCCTTGGAGGCCCATGTGGACGTTCTTCGAACGAGGCTGGCCAGCGAAAGTGGCCAAGGATGGGCCGAAGGGGCAAGGATGCAAGGATAGCCTTCGGAAGGTTGCCCATCCTCATTACGCGGGTTGACTGTACAGCGCGTGAGGGTTTTAGTAAATTGATATGCGGAGAGTCAACGAAGGAGGAGCGGGCGGAGGAGAAGGAGAAGGACACGCACGCGCTGCTGATTCAAAGCGCGGACTCAACTCACACAGGACGGTTGGGAATAGGAACGAGGAGCAAGAGGAAGGGGAAAAGGGGTGAGGAGGAATTGGATGAAGATGGAGAATTAGGAGAAGGGGACTCCACTCCCTCCCGCCTCCCCCTCACTTCTCCTCGTCCTCGCCTCCACCTTCCTCACTGTCTCCCCCGTCGCCGCCTTCGCAGTTGTCTTCGCCAACGCCATCGTCGTCACCTGCGTCGTCTTCGACTCAGCCATCGCCAGCGTCGCGTCCTTGCCATCGCCCATGCCATCGCCACCGTCGTCGCCGCTGCCGCTGTCGCCGCCGCCGTCGCCGCCGCCGCCGTCGTCGTTGCCGTCGGCGGCCGCCTTCAGCTTCCTGACGCCGTCCGGGGCGGACGCCGAGACCGGCCCGGCCGCGACTGGCCCGTCCGGAACGGGCTGCCCCGCCACGGGCTTCTCCTGCGCTGGCTTCTCCTGCAGAGCGCGGTCAGGGGCCGGGAGGCGGGGGGTCGGGAGGGGAGGGGGGGGGAGGACAAGGCTATAGCTGCGCGCGCCATATCTGACATCCCAACCCGCCCGCCCTTTCCTTACCTTTGCGTGCGCTGATGCTGTCTCCATCCTCCGACGGATCTCAGCGGACCCGGTTCTCCAGAGTGACCCCTCACCGTATGATGCGCAATCAGAAAGGGAGCTGTGTACAGAGGAGGAGGTGGTGGATGATCCGGAGGATGAGAAGGAGAAAAAGGAGGTTGAGGAAGGAGGAGAGGAAGGAGGGGGGTGACAACGCGAAGGAATCGGATCCAGATGTGCAGCCCCCGCTGGGACAAGAGAGTCATTCTGAACGACGGGAGCAAGGCGCCGACCCTGAAGTGGGGCCAACGCTGCAGCTCGAGCACCAGTTTGAAAGACCGAAGACGTCCTGAGTGAGAACATACCCATGTCACATCAAGGCTTGGCAGTGCGATGAGAAACACTCGGGAGACTGGGGGCCCCGCTCGCACAGAATCTGGGGGGAGAGAGAAGAGTAATACTAATTGTGAAGAACTAGAACCGTGTGCGAGCTTTGGGCGCGCTCAGGCTCAAGCCCAGGCGCAAATCCAGCGCTATATCAATCAACGGATGGGCACGCACGCCATCTCACCACCATCATCACATGGGAACACCTGCGCAATCACGGGCATACATATTTCAAAAGCGTCCCCCCGCCTATTTCGCCACATCCTTTACACGGGTCGTGACCCTGAAGGAGCTTTACGTACGGCCCAAGAGACAGGGTGCGCACAGCGTTCTCCCGCCCATTTCGGCACATCCCTCACAAGGATCGTATACCTCAAAGACAACTCCACCTACGGCCCCAGAGACAAGACTAGCACAACGGCACACACCTGACGCGGACCGTGCCTGAAAGTAACTGCACTTACGGCACCAGAGGGAAGCTTCGCATGGCGTTGCTGCTCACGTCGGCACATCTCTCACAGGGATCGTGCCCCGCAGGGAGCTCCACCGACGGCCCCAGAGACAGGGTACGCATAGTGCCCCCAACGAACCCCGTCATGCTGATTGTGCTCCGTAGGGAGCCCCCACCCACAACACCTATGGCACAAAGGAGCAATTTCGCACGGCGTCCCCCCGCGCATATCGACACATGCCTCACACGGGGTGTGTCTCACAAGGAACTCTCCCTGCGGCCTCAATAGGCGTGTTCGCGCGGGGCACCTGGTTTACTCGGCAATCCCTTAACATCGAACGTGGCCCACGCGGAATTCAGAGCGCCTGCGCACGCTCGCTCTGCAGCAGCCCCCTATCCGCTCTGTCGCGCGGCGTGCAAGATATGAAGAGATGGCCGCGCGCTGCGCTACAAGTGACTGAATGGGATTTGGCCCTTCGCCAAAATTACTTACGTATCGAAGACGCCTACGGCGAATCATTACCGCCCCCTGCCTTTTGGAAACACCATGCGGTCAAACAGTGGGCCGAAGCCTGGCCAAGCACTTGGACTATGTGTACCCCTAGTCGTTGTGGATGCCCTTGGGGGAACACTGGGCAGAGGAAGAGAAAGGATGAGCAGAGGGATGAGAAGGAATAGGAGGAGGAATATAAGGATTCCTGGGACCCTATTTGGGGCCTCTTGGGGGCCTCCTGGGCTCCTAGGCCCTCTTGGGGGCCTTCTGGGAGCTCTTGTGGCTCTTGAGGGCCTCTGGGGGGCGTCTAATGGACCTCTGGCCTTCGGAGGCGGGCTCTCTCTATAGGCAATCGTGGGTCCCTCGTTGGAAGCCTTGCGGTTGTCTTGGAAGTCTCTGAGGCCGTCTTGCGGCCGCCCTTGGGGCCCCTTGGGCCGTCTTGGGGGCCCTCTTGGGCCGTCTTGCGGGCCTCCTAATCCTTGAGCCGTCTTGGGGCTATCTTGGGGGCCTGTGAGGCCGTCTTGGAACGTCGGGAACCCGGAAAAGTGGCTAAACTCGCTGAGCAACCTGCGGACCATCTAAGATGTTGGCCTCCTGGAGGTCCTCTTGGAGCCCTTTTGGGGCGTCTTGGGTCCTCTTGGGCCGTCTGGAAGGATATCTTGGGCCGTCTTGGGGCCATCTTGACCGTCTTGGAGGTTTTGGGGGCAGTCTTGCGTCTTGGAAGCATATTGCAGGCCATATTTGGCCGTCTTGGGTGCATCTTGGAGGCCATCTTGGGCCATCTTGGCCGTTCCGGGGAAAATGTGTTGTGCACGTTGACGTCGTTGCGCGGCTCTCTGGGTGGCCAGCGGGTTGGGCCGAAGGTCACTGGGAACCTTCTCGAAAGAAACACACGGAACACCGTCCTAGAATCTGGCACGCCGTTCGACCCCGTGGCAAGCCACAGGGGGCGGCGGATCCACGAGCCCTCGGCCCATGCCGTCCAAACGCGTCCAGCGGGAATTGCGTTGTGAAATGGGGGCGCCTTCCAAAGGTGCAACTATCGCACAATGTTGCACACGGGTCGTACATGCCGAGGGCGTCTCAAGCGAGAGCCACATGTTCAAACATACTGCTGTCCGACATTCCAGCTGTTACACAATTTGAACATCGGGTAACTCACGTTGTGGACATATCCAGCAAGAGCTTCTTTTGGAAAAGGAGCGGCCTCCATCCTGATGACTGCTGGAAGCTTTTGGGACGAGTGTGCACCACTCTTAGACAACCCATCCTACACTCGTGGGAAATATCAACAAAGACCACTCGATGCACTAGATTTCGTTGGGTAGGTCCCCAAACGTGTGAAAGGTGTGCCGACGTGGACCTGAGTACGCATGCGGGCCCTGCCTCGGTGGAGCCCCCTGTGGGGCCACGAAACGTGTGACAGGTGTACCGAATTGGACCCGAGTGCGCGTGCCGGCTCTGCCACTGGGGACCTCGGTGGAGCTTCCCCCGGTGCCACGAAACGTGTAAGGGGTCTGCCGAAATGGACCCGAGTACGCATGCGGGCCCTGCCACTGGAACTTTCGGTGGAGCTCCGTATGGGGCCATGAAACGTGTGAGGGGTCTGTCCAAATGGACCCAAATACGCATGCGGGCCCTGCCACTGGGGCCTCCGGTGGGAGCCCCCTAAGAGGCCACGAAACGTATGAAGTGTGCGTGCGCGTGTGTGCTGACGTGGACCCGAGTACGCATGCGGGCCCTGCCACTGGGGCCTTCGGTGGAGCTCCCTATGGGGCCACGAAACATATGGGTGAGGAAAAGAAGGAGGGGAGGAGGAGAGAGGAGATGATGATGATGATGATGATGATGATGATGATGGTGATGATGATGATGATGATAATGATGATGATGATGAGGAGGAGGAGGAGGACAAGGAGGAGGAGGAGGAGGAGGTGGGGCGCGGCACTGCAAATTCAAAACGAAGACCCCACACACTTTTTTGGTCTGCGGGGCGAGAGCGAACCTCTTCCGCTAAAAGCTAAGCGGGCTACGCGCAGCTTTAATTAAGGAGACAGGGCACAGGAAGGCGGGGCCTCAGGCGGCCGGAGCAGGTGGAACCCGGGGTCCAGGCGGTGCCGAAGAGCTTGCACAAGAGAAGGTACGCCGCGGACGAGGACTGGGGGCGAAGACCCGGAAGGCAAAGGAGATGGTGTAGCCGTCAACGGCACGTCGCGAATACCAGCCTCAAGCACTGCGGAGGAGGACGCGCTATTTGACCAGGTCGACGCCCAGGAGGGAGAAAAACACCACGAAGGCGAACAACAACGTTGTGCCACCGGATGATGCGGAGGCCCAGGAAGAAGAGCACCACGAAGGCGAAGTGCAACGTTGTGCCACCGGGTGATGCGGAAGAGGCCCCGGGTGGTAGTCCAATCCGCAACCAGGTAGCAAAGACCCAACACACAGGAGGGTTTGGAAAAAAAACAGGCGCGGAAACGCGGAAATGAGGACGCGTAGCATGACACAGCATGGCGCGGCGACGCCCCAATGTGGGGGGGGGGCTTCTGCGGCCAAAAGAATCGACGAATCGACACCGAATGTAGAATCGCTTCCGATGTTTTTTTCCGGGGGGGTACTTTTAGATTTTGGAGCCATTTGGAAGAACCGAACGCCATGCCATGGCATGGCGCTGGAAATTGACGTCAACGTTGCAGCGGGAACACGATTCGGAACGAGCGGAAGCGCGGAAATAGAAGCCAACGCTGCAGCGGGAGCACGATCCGGAACGAGCGGTAGCCCGACAATGAAGCCAGCGCTTCAGCGAGATCAGCATTTTGACCAAAAACCCAAGCTCGGAAGCGCGGACATGAGGACACGTAGCATGACATAGCATGGCGTGGCGACGCCCCAAAGTGGGGTAGCTTCTGCGGCCCAAAAGATCAACGAATCGACACCGAATGTGGAATCACTTCCGATTTTTTTTCGGGGGGGGGCATTTTTTGGATGTTGCGGCCTGTTTGGAAGGACCGGAAGCCATGCCTTGGCATGGCGCTGGAAATAATGACACCAGCGCTTCAGCGGGAGCACGATTCGGAACGAGCGGAAACGCGGAAATAGAAGCCAGCGCTTCAGCGAGAGCAGCATTTACTTCGAAGAAAACCGAAGCGACAACCCGTTTCCCAGGAATCCAGCGTGTAAAAAACCAGTACGCGGAAGGGGGCCGAATAATTCCCAGACGCCACTAGGGGAGAGAGGAGAATAGTATGTATTGTTTCATGTGGAGGAGGAGGGAGTTAGGGGGGGGATGGACATGGCATGGGGGGGGATGGGGTAATGAGGGAGAGGATGAAGGAAGAGGGCTGCGAGGTGGAACAATCATCTCTACGCCGGGACCTGAGCACGAGTGGACTTCTCGACCTCGTCTCTCAGTCAGACTTTTTGAGACAGATCGGTCCGAAAGGGCCCCCCCGGCCGCAAACACCGAGGCAGAAACGCATGGCGTGATTGTTTCACGACGCCATGTGGGGGGTGCCGGGGCCATTGGGCCGGGTGGGCGGCCATGAGATCCCAAACGTCCGACGGCTCGATTTTGTTCAGGCATGGCCCCCTGGAGCTCTCGACCCCTTGC